GAAGATTTTTCAAGAGATTTTTCTCGAGAAAAAATTTTGAGAGGAAGGTTCCACGGCCAATAATTCAATTAAATTCGTTTTTTGGATGCAAATAAATCAATTTATTTGCGTATCTGCATAGTATTTTTGTGTATTTATTTGCCATTTTTATTGCAAATTTATTACGTGCATAACCCCATAAATGACCCATTGACCTCAGAGAGAATACTATAAAGGAAGAGGGAAGTGTAGAGAAGAATCAGTTCTACCTTCTCTGGACTCCAGAGAAGGTAACCAGGGGGAGAGTCCTGGATCCTCGGATCCGTGGGCCCTCGGATCCCTGGATCCCTGGATCGCTGGGTCCTTGGGTCCCTGGATCCGGGGGATCTGGGTTCTGGATCCGGGTGACCTAGATCCGGGTGACCTGGATCCGGATGACCTAGATCCGGGTGACCTAGATCCGGGTGACCTGAATCCGGGTGACCTGGATCCGGGTGAATTTCCCGAATGTATACCTTTTAAAAAAATTCCCTGATACGATTACGGGTACTGAAAGCGGAGGCCAGGAGGTTTAGGGCGTAAACCGACTGGTTTTATGTATTAGTTAAGCCTTTTGGAGACTACAAGACTTGGGCAAGCCTTCCACAAGTCTCCCACAAGTCTTTACTAATACATAAAATAATGTGCCCAAAGACTTGTGCATGCATGGGCGCCGATAGCCGAGCTAGCAGTGATACCACGAATGAGAACTAGGAAAGTGAGAATGAGAATCTCATTTGTAGCAGTTCTCATTTTCCAAGTTCTCATCCATGGTACCACCGAGCTATCGTACACAGCATTTTATTTTACGACGCAACCCGCTTTTATCGAATGATGTGTCGCAAAATGAACTGTTGTGTACGCAAACACCCTCAGGTATGTTGCTGGAAATGCACAAATTCGGTTGGATGGCCTGATTTCTTAGGCGCTTCGTTAACAGGGTTTCCAAGTTTCAGAATTTTTAAAATATCGGAGAACTTCTAAGAACTTTTAAAAGAAAAACTACTTTTTTCAGTCAGCAGATGTAACAATTCATACATTCCAACCATCGACCTCCTTAACTATAACTCTCCTCATTCTACTATAAAATCTCTAGAATACGCGATCACAAATGATAGAGATGAGCTAGCTGAAGATTGTATACGATTCATTGCGGAAAAACTAAACACAAATAACGACCAATTGAATGATTCTGAAATCAAAGGGCTCTTAAATGCACTATGCTACGTATTAAGAGAATCAAAAAACAAAATGGTGTATTTGGCTATTCAATGCTTTGCCAAATCGGGTTTCTTTGAGTGAATTGTAAAGATAGTTTTAACTTTCTTAAGTGTTTATTTTCAGAACTGAACGTTTCTTCGAATTGTTTTGGCTGGAGATTCCCGGAATTGTAGAACTCCTCTTTAAATCATGGGAACATTTAAAATTCTCAGAATTTCAAACAAAAACCGCACTTTCCTTGACTTTAGTGTTTTTCGAACGGATGGTCAATTCTTTGAGTATGGGGAAAATATTACAGGAGGAACTCTTGAATTTTCTCATGGAGAAAACCATAGAATTATCATGTCAATATCCAGAAAATCTTCAAGGAATTACTTTGGTTTTGATTGGAGCACATCGATACATGACCTTGGATCTGTATACAACATTGTTTACTGATATTAAAATGGTCAAGGGACTTTTCGAATACGCTCATTATTTGATTAAAATTGATACGCCGTCATATCAACAAATCATGGAAATCATCGTCAGCCATTTGAACCAAGCATCGGAAAATACCTTGAACTATTTGGTTTCAAATTGTCAAGTAATGGAGAAATGCTATGAACAAGTTATGATAATTTCTAAATCGCCAGCTAAGGACTCACAGAAAAATCTATCAAAAATAGTTCTTAGATTGATGTAAGTTTCAAGCATTCACATAAATTCTTGAAAATGTTGCATTTGCAGAACAATTATAAACCAAAATGACGAGAAGGCTTTGGCCTTCATGGCATATTCGATCTTCTCCCTGCTTCTTGCCAAGAATTTAATTGAAGATCGAGAGTACGTAAACACTGTACTTGAAGAATTTAATGACAGTTGGGGTCGATCGAACATTTTGGATTGTCAAAACGTTACTGATGTATTGGATGTTATCTTCACTTCTGAGCACGCTACAGATGCATTGATTTGTTTTGGTTTGATATTAATGTCCACTTTCGTCAATACTAAAGGTTATGGATCAAAAGAATATTGGAATTGGATGAAAACAACGTCATCGGGTATTCGAAATAATGAAAAGTGGACCAAGAAAACAAGAGAGTCCGCATCATCAGTTTTGAATAAAATGTCGACGATAGAGGAGGAATGGATCTCTTAGTTTTTTTTTCTGATTTTCACCCTCTATCACAATTTTCTAATTGTAATTCCCCCTCCCCTACTCTTTGAAGAAACCAAAACTTTTCATTTATCCCTTTTCTAATGAATATGTATTAACATTTTAAAACTGCTTTTTTTGTATATCAATTTCGCAAAAAGATACGGCTTATTATGTAATAGGAATTTGAAAAAAAGCTAATTTCAAAGTCTTTTTGAAACTGACACAATTTTCCGAGTTTTATATTTCCTGTTCAACGAGATCCCTCACGAAACAATTCTGGAAAAATAAAAGCGCCTTCTTTAATTCAGGAGTCTTAGAAAATAGAAAAGCCATTCGAAGGTAATTTTTGACAATATGGGGACAACCCCTGTTAAATCTGTTTTTCGGTAACAAAACACAACAATACAACACATTTATAACTTTTCCCATTCTGGAAATCACCTGACGAAAGAAATCCCAGAAAATTTTGGAACAATCGCCGTAACGTTTTTCATTTTTACATCTTGTGTTCAAAATTTACTGGTAAAAATTCTGCTCCGCACATCCCTGAAACATCACGACTGCTGTAAACCAAACAATCGTGACACTCTGCGTTTGTGTTCTTCTGCGAAAAATCGATCATTCGTTTCTATTGATCTTAAAATCAATAGGTTCTATCCTTCCCACCTGGTTCTGTATTCCTCCTCGTCGTCTTTAGAACACTCATATTCTTTTCATTATCCTTTTTTTGTGTTACTCAAAATTTCAAATATCTCTTTTTTGTTGATTTTCTCTTTCTTATCGAAGTCTTCGAATGTATGTTTTGTATTGATTTTATTGCAAATCGTTTCATTTTCTATGTTGCTGGTCCATTTCTAAAACATTTTTCGTTAATTTCGATCCTCTCAAAGTTCGGCTCAATTTCGTTTTTTTTCAGAACAATTTCCCCTAAAAATGTTGTCTCCAACATTATTTCAACTTGCCGACAAGTCAGCAGCTCAAAACATTCATTATGGTAATTACCCCTAATTCACCAATTATCCTATTTACTTCCAATTTTCAGAGAAAATTCCACTTGAGTTTATTTTAGATTCAAAAGCCAGCAATGAAGTAGTGAGACAGCTTTTAAAATTGGATCCGAAAAACATTAAAAAATTGGAAACCTGTAAAAAACAGCTATCAAGACTGACAGAACTGGATTTAAAGAAGTGTAAAATTGATGTGGAAGGAATTTTGAATTTGAAAAACTTCAAATTGAATTCTCTGAATTTTGGATACTTGTACCATTTGAAGACGGAATTTCCGGATCCATCAAGTAAGAAAAGTTTCTGGAAATATCTCAAAAGTTTCAATTTTCAGACTCATCTGGAATTGACATTGTGAGTTTATTGAAAAGAGCAGTGAATACACAAGAAATGATGATCCATTTGGGATTTTCTGGCGAGGAGGACAAGCGGTATATGATTGGTTGGGAGGAAAAGGTAATCAATTTGAACTTTCAAAAAATCGTTATTTATTTGAAGTGTTCGCCTATAGCATCAAGCTTAATTCTAGACAATTCATTATTTTTTTGTAGTGCTCCAAAGTGCCTGTACTTTCCGTTGCTTAGCAGCTGGTAGCTCTTCTCTAACTCAAAACATCAGAGTTGATTTGAATCCAAAATAGGGATAGATCTACAAATAGATGCTTAACATGTTTAGTTTCAAAAAACTGAAAATCTGATTTGAATTTCATTTTGTTTTCCGGTCTCAAAACTTCTTCCATCTCTTCAAAGCATCAAAATCACTTTCAGTACATTCTTCCACCAACGCAAACTCTCAAATCTCTGTAGTTCGTTTCCCAATCTTCGAATCTTGGATATTTCTTTTGCGAGAGGTCTAACAACTATGGAAGGAATCAAAAATCTCAAACACCTGCAAAAATTGGTGATGCGGGGGATAGAACTCGAAGACATTTATGGATACAAAGAGTTGTCCGATTTGAAGAATTTAAGGGTTTTAGATGTTTCGGATTGTGACGAGTGAGTTTATTAGTTTCGAGAATTAGAGAGAGGGGGAGGCCATTTTTTTTCCAAATCCTAACTTGCTATATCCCGGACCGGTCCGGGTATGCCCAAAACGAAAAACTGTACTATTTTCAGTGATTCCTATCGAGTGATTAGAAGTCTATTGACTTCTGATGTCCGAATGAAAAATTTGGTGTTTCTGGATTGTTCAATGACATGGGTCAAGGATTATGAATTGAAAGAATTTGTTAAGCGTCATGAGTGTTATGAGTTTCTGAAGGAGTTTTTGACTTTTTTGGCTATATTTAAATGTTATCCGTATTTTGCATGCTTTTCTACAATCTGAAGAGGTTTTCTCTTTTTTTTTCGGAAAATTTTTTTTGAGAAAATCGCCTTGGGGTACCCCCTTGGAATTTTTTCAATTTTCGAAAAAAACAATTTAATGTGCTAGAATTAGTTCAAAACAAAGAGAATCAATAAAAATGTTGTTTCACTAGATTCGATAACCTATGTTCATTTCTACAAGTCAGATACAGCCACCGGAAAGAACGAAGAAAAAATTCAAAAAAGTTTAGCAGCTCGAGGGAGTTGAACCAGAGAATACCCGCTTCATATTCTTAATCACTAACCATTCGACCACGCTTCCACATTCTTTCAACGCTTTAAAATTTAACTACGCGAGGAAGAAAAATGAGATTGAAAATCCACGTCATTTTTGGAAACTTTCGACCCAGTTTTCTCGAAAACTACCGCGACAAAGCACATTTTGAAAACAGATTTGGAATCAGGAAAATGTTAGCTTTCAGATGATATAGGTCATCACCCGTATCGCCACACCCGAGTTGGGGCCTTCCCTAGTTAGAATCTCAGAATTTCAGAACTTCAGAATTTTCGAGTTTTAGAATTTTAATTTTGGAACTTTTGAAATTCAGAGCTTTCGAATTTTCGAATTCTCAAATTTTTTCAAATCCTCAAAATTTGAAATTTTCCGAATTTTCGAATTTGAGAGCCCGTTGTCCATCCATTTCCCATTGTCCAACATCTGTCCGAGTGGGTTCTCGGAGCATCTTAAGACCTCCCTGTGTGTAATTTAGAGAGTGCACTAATTGAAGAGACGATAAGAAGCAGAAAAACAAGTCGTCTCTCCTCGTTGCTCCCCACACAAAAATAGAACTCTCTCATTTCTCTCCCATCGACGGCTTGACTGAATAGACGTCTAAATTTTCCTGGGAACTTTCTAGAAATCCTAAAAAGTGATTGGATTCTGAAGTTTTCTTGTCTTGATTTTTCTGAATATTGTCTGTATTTATTTTCCTACTAATCTGTTTAGAAATCATAAATTTAAAGATTTTGTAATATTGAGCTCGCATCTTATAATGTGAGTTTTTTTTTCGGAAATTTGATCGGTTTTATTTGAAAATGTTGAGTTTTGGGTGAATTAAAATAACTTTGGTCATAAAACTGTGAATATTACAATTAAAAATTAATAATTTTGCATTGAAAATTGTGAATCAAGACAGTTAGAAATTCTGACGAAAAAGTGATAGGAAATTTTGGGAGAATTTTTTGACTTATCAGAAATTGACTTTTTTCAGAAAACAGACGCTCTGAAATGGCGAATTTACCACTTCTGGTGACAAGGAAAAGGACCGTGATGCTGCACATAAAAGGACAAAGAATTACTATGCCTTCCACTGATGTCAAAGTTTACGGATTTTATCGGGATTCAACTCAAACGGAAGTGTTAGTGGACATGGAGCTTTTGAAACATCTGAGTGAGACATTGCTTCCTACACTGAATGTTGCCAAGTCTTGTCCACTGCTTCATCTTCAAGATGACTCAACGATCTCAAACTCTCGAGATTTATGAATCGTTTGTATCAGCTTCACAGAATTTATGATTTCCGCACATGGGACGTTACAATTGTGAAATTAGAAGTTCCGATATCAGTGTAATATCTCAAAAATGGATCGTTGAAGACTCTTTATGAGTATAGGATTTCATTAATTTTGTCAATATAATAATTTGAAAATAAAATTTTATCAATTAAATATAATTACAATTACAATTAAACCATGTTAAAGAGAATCGAAGAATCCAGTTCGTCATCAAATTGATGTCCATCCGGCAATAATTTTCCTTTTTTTGAATATCTGCTTCTGATGGCAACGTTACAGATGATTCCATTAATTGTACTTTTCTTTAACATTTCTTCTTCTGATTTCCGATGAACACAAAGAGAATATGAATCAGTGAAAAGGCAAGAATACGCATCGATCGAGAAGAAAAATAAGGAAATTACAAAGAGACAGCAAATTGGCCAGATTATCTGAACATTTATGTTTTTTTTTGTAGTTGGAAAATTGAAATACAAATATTTTGGGTTACGGTAGTTTTCGTTATGAGACCTTGATGGATTTATACCAACACCTACCGTAGAACATAGAAGAGGGCCAGAAGAAATATGGATAGCACGTATACAGTTGCAGCAATCTGGAAAAAAATTATTCAGGCATTTTTTTGTGTTTCGATGAGAAGTTAAGATAATTTCCTGAATTAATTTTGAAAATGTTCTTAGGAACTCAGAAATTTCGAAAAATTCAGGAATGCGAAACATTAAAAGTCAGCGGTGTTGATATTTGGAAATTATTGCTTTTCCAAATTTCTGAATTCTAAAAACGGAAAATTTAAAAGAAACAGTGAGTATCAAATGAAGTATCAAGTGTCTATTTTGTTTTATTACACATTTTTCTAATCCAAAGAATAAACATTTTATTCGGTTACGGTAGCTTTCTTTGTGAGACCTGGATTGTAGCAAAGGAATGTTAAACTAATCTCTGAATAGAAATGTAGTTGAATTGCTAGAGTGCATCCCAGCTTGATCCAAACGACAAGAATCATTCCGAATAATCCCAAAATTGTATGGGAAAGTTTTTGAACCTTTGGCTTCCATCGCCGCACAATTTGATGAGTCCCGCAGGTAAACATCGGCAAGAGAAAAATGAAAAGAAAAAAGGCAATCAGCAATTTGGTTGGTTCCGAATGATTGGAGCGAATGAAACCATCGAGTAAACGGCTACATGCCAGAAAGCCACTATTGAATAGTAAAAGTTGTGAAGGCAAGCATATGAACTCATCGATTCGACCAACACCCAAATTGGAGAACATAGAAGCATCAGAAAATAAGTCAGATAACTTCTCATGTTTCTTGAGCGGACTGGTGGAAAAGAAAAAGTTTGGACGGAAGGAGAGTCTAACAAACGGAAGACGTGCGGTGTTTATCAGGATGCTCAATGGCTGTTTAATCAACAACTTGCGAGCAGCTGCACACCAACAGTTTAATCCCCCTGGTTTTCTCCACCTAGTTATTTATTCCATCCTGTCGTCTTCAAAACACTCTTATTCTTTTCATTACCCTCTTTTTGTGTTACTCTAAATTTCAAATATCTATTTCTTATTGAATTTTTCTGATATATATATTGTATTGATATCATGTGTTGTTAATCCATTTCTAAAACTTTTTTGTTGATTTCGAACCTCTGAAAGTTTGATGTAAATTCTGTATTTTTCAGAACAATTATTCCTAAAAATGTTGTTTCCAACTTTATATCAACTCGCCGCCAAGTCAGTTGCTCAACAAATTTATAGCGGTAATCACCCCTAATTAAATAATTATCCTAATTCAATTTTTATTTCAGATAGCATTTCAATCGATTTCATTTTCGACATAAAATCCAGCAATGGAGAATTCAGACAGCTTTTAGAATTGGACCCGAAAAATATTGAAAAATTAAAAACCCACAAAAATCAGCTATCAACACTAACAGAACTGGATTTAAGGAAATGTAAAATTGATAAAAGAGCATTGAATTTGAAAAGTTTCAGATTTAATGCACTGGAATTCGGAGAATTGTATCATTTGAAAAAGGAATTCCCAGATCCAACGAGTAAGAAAGTCTAGAAAATATCTCAGGAACTTAAATTTCGCAGATATTCATGGAATCGACATTGTGAGTTTGTTGGAGAAAACACTGAATGAAATTACACAAGAAAAGATGGTTCATTTGGGATTTTCTGGCAAGGAGGAGATTACAATTGATTGGGAGGAAAAGGTGACCTGTTTGAAGTTTTCTTGAGTTCTACAAAATCATAGGCATATCACAGGTCTGTGAACTTCTTCCATCTCTTCAAAGCATTAAAATCAACAACAAGGTATTCAACGAAAAATGACTGCTCTCAAATTTCTGTGTTTCGTTTCCAAATCTTCGTGTGTTGGACATTTCTTTCGCGAAAGGTCTTTCAGCTTTGAAAGGAATCGAAAATCTCAAACACCTACGAAAATTGGTGATCCGTAACGTAAGACGTAAGAATCGAAGACAGGGATGGGTACAAGGAGTTGTCCGAATTGAAGAATTTAAGATTTTTGGATGTTTCGGGTGAAGGGTGAGTTTACGAATTCCAGACATGGGGGGGGGGGGGTCATTTTTCAAAATTCTCTATAATAATTTGGAGGGTATAAAAATTTAGGGGTTATTGGGGTACAAAGCAATTTAGGGGTACAAAATACCTGAAAAAGGCTTAATTTTGTACCTCCGAATTATGAGTTTTGTACCCCAAAATCACTTTGTCGAGACATCCAAGACGAGAAAAATGTACTTCAGTTTTTTCAACGTAACGATGATTAGAACCTATTGGCTTCTGAGGTCCGAATGCAAAACTTGAAGTTTCTGGATTGTTCGATGACATGTGTCGAGGATCATGAATTGAGAAGATTTGTCGATCATCATCCAAAGTTAAAGACTGTCGTGGCTATATGTAAGTTTCTTTTTTTTGTATGTTTTTGTTTTTTTTTTCATCATACAAACAACTTATCAGTCAAAATTTTTTGATATCTTTTGAAGGAACTGAGATAATTCAACCAAAAATAACCGAGATAAGTGAGTTCAACATACACCTTTTTTGAGACCTCTGGACTGAAAAAAACCCCTTCCATAAGAGTTTTTTTTTTATATTTTAGGTTATTTAAAATATCGTAAAAAATTCAAAACCAATAATTTTCATAGTTGCAAAAGGCCGGGCCGGGCCGGGACGGTAAACGAATTTTCTCAGCTCGTCCACCACAGTAGAAAATTTTCCAAGGAAAATTTGGGTAATTTTTTTGAATTAAAAAAGAAAAAAAGGTTACATTTTAAAACAAAATTAACAAAGTAGAAAGTAGTCGAAAAATAGGTCGTTTTTGTTTAAATTTTTGAAAAAATTCAAAAAATTCGAAAAAAATTTAAAAAAAAATCAACATCTGTACGTACCCAGGGCTGGCCGGGCCTGGCCGGGGTAAGATTTGGCAACTATGACAAAGGAGAAGACCATGCACCCGCACAGGTGATTCGCGCAGCGTCTATAACAGGTGAAATATTGTTCGCGGAAAGACGCCATGGGTACATCGGAACATGCCTGCCGCAGGCCATTTACAGACCAATCGCGAAAGCGCCACCGCAAACGACCAATATTCCGCCTATCGCAAGCAAATCTCCTACAATTGGCTTGTCGCGAGAGCAATAATTGGCATATATTTTTTCGAATCTGGAAGCTAGCAGCTGCTAAAAATTGTTTATTACACAGAAAAAACAAGGAAAAACGAAAAAACAATTAATTAAAAGTTATATTATTCTCTTCCGCTGTCATCGTATTGACTGGAACGGCGTCGAAGCTTCTACTTCTGTCAGCTTTTGTCTTTTTCGATGACGGTCCAAGTGGGGGAGGAGAAGACGCTGTAGAATCTCGGTTAGCAAACTGAAATGATTTTTCGAAATTTTAAGCTCCCACTAATTTTTGTACTATAACTCTGACAGAAGTTATCGGCTGGAAATTTTCTCGAAATCAGCGAATTTGACACTTCCGACTGAAATCTAAAGTTTTTTCTCAGATTTTTTTTCAAATCTACCCACCGTTCCAGTTTTTCTTCCTTCCTCTTTCTCAGTCGTTTCTTTTCCGGAGTACTCAGTGGACGTACCAGAAAATTGAGAATTTCCTGGCTCCCTGTAAAAATTGGATTTGAAATTCGGACTTTCTGAACGCTTCTTACCTTTTGAAAGTACAGTAGCAGTGCTATCTCCTGAATAAACCAAAATTTCGACTTCTAGCTTCCGACATTTGTCTCCTGGCCATTTTTGCAATTTTTCTGCAAATAAAAAGCAAAATACTGGCTGAGACAGTATTCTAGTATTCTCTTGTAGGTTAAATAATAATTTACTGACAAAATTTGCGAAGGAAACTGAAAAAAAAACGATGAAAAATAACCAAAATAGGTGAAAGAACTTCGAAAAAGGAAAAACAAGAATTTTTTCGCGATTGGTCAATTGTGGGCTTTTTATAGGGTCAGTTAGTAAGATACGCAATGTGCTCGTGAATGTTCAATTGTAGAAGCACTAGTTTGCGGTAGGTGAGTAATTGGGTCGTTTATAGCTCTTTATCTGTAATTGGTCAATCACGAATCACCTGTGAGCTACACCACGTGGCGCTTGCCGTCTACTGCCGCTAAAACGTTTATGAAACGAGGAGTGTCCCGCCGCTTGGGAGCACGTTCGCGTTCTCGGGAAAATGGAGTTATGGTTGGATGGCCATACATATTTTCTGACTGTACTGTGTCATATATCAAAAAACCAGAACTTTGAAATTTTTCATGTCTGGCCTCCTTTAAAATGAGAATATTTTAGATTACGGTAGTTATAGTTTTTTTTCTAATTTAAAATTTTCCGGCTTTCAAAAATATCACTTTTTTTTGGATCTCTATGTTCTGTGAATTTTTGCTTTGTTTTTTTTTTTGCTTTTGAAATGTTCAAATTGCTGATTTATAAAAACTGTGCTTCAGGATTGAAATTTTGTGAAATTCTATGATTTTCATTTTGTTTTGAATTCCGAAGATATTATAAAATTCGAATTTCAGATTAGTCTTCTGTGATTTCTGGAATTTTCCCAAACTCGAGACTTCCCGTTTCGTGCTTTTTGGAATCTGTAAATTTGGGCTAACTTTTTTTGTGTTCATTCATAAATCTCTACTTTCTCTAATTCTTTCACGAATCTCTACATCCTAGATTCTCTGAAATTTCAATTTATTCAAATTCTGGATTTTCAAAACATATCCGATTTTCAGAATTGAAGTTACACCAAAAATAATTTATTTTATGAGCAATTTGAGAGCGGGAGAGATGGACTGGAGAATTTAGACAAAAAAATGGGACATTTTATATTACAAGTATGGGCACAAAACTTGAATTGAGCAATGAAATGCAGATTTCAAGAAATTCAAAAAAAAAGTTCAAATCAGTTGAAAAAGAATAAATTAGGCCAATTCGAAACCGGCTCCAGAGTTGATTGCGTATCGAAGTTTCTCCTCCAATTTGGTTCGATTCGAATATTTCGGAATACGGAGCAAATTCATGCACGTGGCACTTGTTGGTAGCTCTTCTTCGGATGTTGAGATCTGAAATTTCAGAAGTTCAAAATCCAAGAATCTCAGAACCCTAAAACTCAAGAAGTTCAAAACCTCAAAAGTTTGAAATTCCGAAATTCCAAATCTTGGAAGTCCAATACTCGAAAATTTAAAAAATTTTGAATCTCAGGGTTCAGAATCTCAAAAGTTTGAAATCCCAGAATTCGGAATCCAAAAAAGTACTCACCACAAGAATTCCCATTTTCGGATACAAGCTCTTGAGCCCATCGACTGGAGCGCGTGAGCAGCCGGTGACGAATCTGAAAAAAGAGAATTTTAGAATCTCGAATTCTCTAGATTTAAGAATTTGAGAATTTCTGAATCTCAGGATCTCGAAATTTCAGAATTTTCAGAATTTCAGAATCACAGAAGCACAGAATCACAGAATCTTTGAATATCAGAATTTCAGAATTTCAGAATTTCATAATTTCAGGATTTAAGAATCTCAGAATCTCAAAAATTCAGGATTTCAGAATCTCAGAATCTCATAATCTTAGAATCTCAAGATTTCGGAATCTCCGAATTTCAGAATCTCATAATCTTAGAATTACAGAATTTCATAATTTCAGAATCACAGAAGCACATAATCACAGAATCTTTGAATATCAGAATTTCAGAATTTCATAATTTCAGGATTTAAGAATCTCAGAATCTCAAAAATTCAGGATTTCAGAATCTCAGAATCTCATAATCTTAGAATCTCAAGATTTCGGAATCTCCGAATTTCAGAATCTCATAATCTTAGAATTACAGAATTTCATAATTTCAGAATCACAGAAGCACATAATCACAGAATCTTTGAATCTCAGAATATCAGAATTTCAGAATTTCATAATTTCAGGATTTAAGAATCTCAGAATCTCAGAATCTCATAATCTTAGAATCTCAAGATTTCGGAATCTCCGAATTTCAGAATCTCATAATCTTAGGATTACAGAATCATTGAATTTCAGAATTCCAGAATCTCAGAATCTCAGAATTTCAGAATCTCAAAATTTCCGAACCTAAAAATTTCAGAATACCAGAATCTTAGAATCTTCAGAATCTTCAGAATCTCAGAAATTCAGAATTCCAAAATTTCAGAATTTTCAGGATTTCAGAATTTCAGAATCTCAAATTTCAGAACTTTCCAATTTCTGAAATCTCTGAATTTCGAATTTTCAAATTTCGAGAAACTTTGACTTTCCAAAAACAATCCCATCTCACCTCAAAAACGCCATTTTATCATCTTTCGACAGTTTATCAATCACATCCCAAATCATTTCAATGAAATCTTGGTCCGTCGTTGAAGATGCCATTCCGAAGGTGATTTGACAGTTCTGTTGAAGCTCTTTAATTGTGAAGACCTCTTCAAATCCAGCGATAAGAATTTGTAGTTCGTGTGGAGCGAACATGCTCATCCATTCGATGTTGACGACTTCACTGATGCCACGACGAATCGCGCCGACCATTGTGGCGATCTGAAATTCCAGCCATTTTTTGAATTTTTTTCTAATACCGTAGAACCTGTATTAGAAGGGCCGGTCCTTCTATTGTTTCAAGGTACCTCCGGAGGGCCCTTCTATTACAGGGGCCCTTCTATTTTTCCGGCCAGATTTTTTCGAAATTTCGCATCGAAAAATTCGACGAAGTTTTGTTCAAAATTTTTCAAAAATCTGCCAATTTCACCAAAATTTAGCAAGATTTTCATTGAAAAATAGAGTTTCAACAAATTTCTATCAAATTGTGGAGTTCCCGGAATATTTTCCACTAAAAAAGTACGGCAATTTTCTGGTTTCAGCGTAAATAAAACTTTTTGTCTAGCAATTTTCTTGAATTTACAATCGTTTCGCTATAATTCAGGACAAAATTCGGTGAAAAATCACCCTGAAATCCTCAATTTTTTGCTGTTTTCAGCCATTTTTCGCTGAAAAATCGGTCAGAAAAAGATGAGAAACTTGGAGAAAAGGCTAGAAAATTGATCGAAAATCACAATTCTTTAATTCTAAGCCATTTTCATGTGATTTCTGCTCAAAACTACCGTGAAACCTCTAATAGAACGTCACCCGGACCGTCTACTTTGAGCTTAAATGTCTCACTTCTTTCGAAAGATGTCAAAAAGTTGCCAACTAATAAAATGTTTATCACAATATCGCAAAGATTTTATCAGTTGACTCCCTTTTGATATCTCTTATGGGAGCTGAGATAATGACTCTCATATATGACAGTGTGGGAGGGGGCCCTTCTATTAGAGTGTTTTCGGTAGTTCCGATTCTCCACAATTTCCAAAATTCACTCACCCTCTGTTTCAAATAGTAGTTCACATAAAGCCGAATGTATTCGTGCACATTGTCTACAGTAACCCGTTGATTCGATCCGTTTGGCTTGAGATTTACAGTCTGGAAAATGGAGATTTTCAGTTAGAAATTTCAGGATTTGGGGATTTTTGAATTGACATTTTGTAGAAAAATAGCGTATTTTGAGCTGAAAACTGTTGAAATAGGGTGAGAAATCACGAAATTTCAGTTAAAAACTCATTTTTGGGACTTTTTGGTGGAAAATCTAAGCCTTAAACACTCACCCGAACCAATCCGACATCACTAGTGACCACACTGAAATCCAGTTGCAACTCGTCCAGCTCCTGTTCGCTAGTCGTTTGCAACGCCTTCAAATTCTTGAAGATCAATGGATCAAAGCTCTTCATGTGCTGTAGATCCACGTCTTTGGTACGGTCTTCGAAGAGCTGAGCAATGAAGAATTCGGCGAATCGAACTTCTTGAAGTTGTCGTTCATAGATTAGTTTTCCAATCATTCGTCCAATGAATTGATAGTGAGTCAGGCAATCAGCACCGAGGAGATAGATGGCCGTTGGATTCGGATACAGAAGTTTGGATTCTGTGGTTTCTGTGAAAAATCCGCGATTCACACTGAAGGCGTCTTTGAGGAGTTCCGAGAGGAATTCTCGGAAGATGCCACCGCCGTCGACACCCTGCTCGTTGGATCCTGCCCAATTGATCATCTTCACACGGATGTTCGCTTTTAGTTCTCGCACTGAAAGTTAGGATTTCAACTTCTAGATTTTCTAGACCTTACAGTGATGGCCTAACTTTCTCAACATGAGTTTTCTAGGTCACTTAGTTTTTGGCGGGGAAATGGTCAGGTATGCATCTGGTACGTTTTCTAGGTCATTTTAAATTACCTTGGTGGCCTAGAAAGGTAAACTTGCAAAAGTTAGGCCATGTGGCTCTTGAATCAAAATTTCAAATTTTCAGCCAACACTCTCCACACGTACCATCATCTTTCACAGCTTTCGGCTTATACTTCTCAAACGCATCCATATAAATCTGATCTCTTCTGACCGTCAAATTCGTATTATAATTATTGAACATCCGCGAAACATCCATAAATCGATCGTGCTCCTGTGACACCAGTCGATTGAATAGCTGTACTCGATCCATGAACGGGACGATGAATGGGATATTCTTCATGATACAAATTCCACGTTGAAGAGCCGTCGGCACTTTTTCCCTTGCGTTTCGTTCCATCAGCTCTTCGTCATCTGAATCACCGCCTTCTTCTTCGTAGAGCTCCGCGAGCCGCTCGACGAATTCCGATCGCATCGGTTGTCTGTAATCGAGATTCTGAGATTCTAATATTCTAGGATTCTGAGATTCTCAAAATTTCAAAAACCAGCTCAAAACTCACTGTCTCCGATTCCTTGGCGTCGTCCTCGCCTGATGTCCAATCCCCACAAAAACCTCTCTTCCATGATTCGTCCAAAATCCCTCTGGAAAGTATTTCAGACGAATGTCCTTCTGATAAATCGCTCCCAAAAACGAGAAGACCGCATCGGTAACATCCTTAAACTGATTCCGAACGACGCCTGGCTCGCCACGTTGATAGACCGGAAACATCGAATGAATCAGTTTGATGGAGACGTCACGAACGAATTCGACTGTAGCGTCGAAATGAGGGAAAATCGAGGTGGGGATGAAGTCAGAGTCGGCGACTGAGGAGATTCGTTTGTTCAAGCAGTTACAGAACAGTTCAAGGGCGTTGATTCGTTGTGTACAGCAGTCGTCTGGCTCGAATCGCTCGGAGGAAGTGATGAATGTGTAGAGACTGGAAAAATAGAGTTTTAGAGCAAATTTGGTTGAAAATGCCTATTTTCAGAGGGAAAACAACTGGAATTGCAATATTTTAAATCGATTTTTCACATTTTCAGCTCAAAATTACCGGAATTTCAAGCTAAAAATGACCATTTTTCGTTCAAAAGAATCCAACAATTGTCTGAAATCAGCGTTTTTCAAACTAAAAAAAAACCATTTTTTCAATTTGAATTATTCAGACCAAAAACGGCAAATTTCAGCTGAAAATCGTCGATTTTGTCTCTCAAAGCTCGCGTTTTTTAGCTAAAAGTCGTTGAAATTTTGCTGAAAATCAAAAAATTATCACTCACGCCTCCAAAAACGTATCAGACGATGCGAGAAGATCCATGCATTCTGTGAAATGTTTTCGCATCGGGATGAGTGAGGTGACGTTGACATTCTGGGTGTTGGCTGGAAATTGGAATATAGGAAAAGTTCAGAATCTCAGAATTTTCTAGAAGTTTTCAAATTTTTTTTCAGAATCGTTCAGACTCATCTAGAGCTTCAGAAAAGGCAGTTCAGAGGCATTTTATAAGCCTTTAGATTTATTTAGAGCTTTTTTGAAGTCTCCAGAATCTACCGAAACCTATCAGAATCTTCTAGAATCTTCTAGAATCCTTCAGAATCCTTCAGGACCACTTTGAACCCTTCAGAACTTTCCAGAGTCCTCCAGAACCCTTTGGAATCTATTAGGATCCTTCAGAATCTTCCAGAATTTTCCAGAAGCTTTTAGGATGCTCTAGATTTGTCTAGAATCCTTCATAACTTCCCTCAACTTTGGGAAGCCTTCAGAATTCTTTAAAACTATCTAGAATCCACTAGAATCTTCGAGAATCCTCAAGAAGTCTTCAAAAGCGTTCAGAGTCCTTCAGAATCCTTTAGAATCTACCAGAATTTTTCACAGTTCTCCAGAACCATTTAGAATCCACTAGATCCTTCAGACTTCTCTAGAATCCATCAAGGTCCTCCAGAATACTCCAGGATTCTCCAAAATGCTCCAGGACCCTTTGAAAACCTTCAGAATGTTTTTCAATATACCGAAACCTTCTGAACACTTTCAGAGCCCTTCAGAATCCTTTAGAATCTTCGAGACTCCGGCAGGATCTTCTAGAATCCTTCAGATTATCCATTAACTTTCAGGAGCCTTCAGAATCGTTCGGAACCTTTCACAGTCCTTCAGAACCCTCCCGAACCCCCATGACCTCTGATTCCGACAAAAACCCTCACCATAAGCACACGCGGCTCTCCTAAAGTTCACCGATGACAGAATTCCATTCGAATACTCCCATATGTACTGGTTCACTGCTGTTCTCAGTCGTCCATTTTCCGTCAAATCCTCCTTCACATTCAACGTCTTCATGATCGTCGCATGTTGATCCAGTACGAGAGCCAGTGAATCAAACAACTGCTTCAGCGATTCTGAATTCGTTTTGTTCACATTCTCCACAAACGACAGGAATACAGCTCGAAGACGAATCGAAGCGGTTTCCACTTCTTCTGGCCGGAGCTTCCATTTTTGAATCACATTTGCAGATTTCCCGGCTTCATAGATGACTGACGAGTTTGGATTCACATGTTGTGTGCTGGAAATTATTGAATTTTTAATAATTTTTTGAGATCGATAATTCCAGATTTGAAGCTCAAAATTCGAGTAATTAGAGCTCAAAATTTACAATTTCCAAGCCATAATACCTCAATTTTGGCTCAAATTTCAAGATATCGAGCTCCATTTCCAGCTCTTTTCCACCCAAAACCCCAATTTTCAAAAAAAAAACTCACCCACTGAGCCGGATATGATCTCGGATATAGTAGAGAATGTAGTTGGCGAAGTTGAGATCACTAATTTTTACACATATCGTTTTCAGCAGGCGATCGGCGACGTGCACAGAGACCGGCGTCGTGCGAGCTGGATTCTGAAACTTTTGGGAGGGGTTGAGATTTTACAGAATCTTCTAGAAGCTTCTAGGATCCAATAGGATCTTCTAGGATCTTCTAGGACTTTCTAGGAGCGTCTAGGAGCTTCTAGAATCTTCTAGAACTTTTCGGGACCTTCTAGAATCCTTGAGAATCCTTCAGAACCTTCTAGAATCTGAGCCAGAATCCATACCACAAAAACGTCGAAAATTCTGGTGAGCAATTGCAGATGACGTGGCAGGATGGGCTTCTTCTGAATCGAAACGTCTTCTGGTTTTCCGATCAGCGCCTCCAGAAGATGGAATTCGGCGTCGAAGAGACCGTGTTGCGAGATCGCTTCGTAGAGATGGGAGTGGCAAGTCACAAAGTCTTCCAGGAATCTGAAAATTCGAATTTTCTGGAAATTCTGGAAGTTCAAATTTCAGAATATCTCAATTTACAGCCGAAGAATCCGAGAACGGCTGAAATTTAAGAACTACCGTAGTAGTAAATTTTGAAAATTCAAAAATGCTAGAATTCCAGATTTGTAGAATCGTAAAATATAAAATTTTAACAATTCTGGAATCTGAAATTTTGGGAATTTCGAAAATTCGGTTTTTTTCAGAATTTCCAAATCCCTTCTCACCTGAACACATGGAAGAAAATGGTATTCTCATCAGCGTGATCCAGAAATTTCACACAGCATCTGGCCAATAGAAATCGTTGAGAATCTCGGATTTGTTGTTCGAAAGCCCGGTTGGCGGTTCTTGCTTTCACCAATTCCACCAGAGTCATCACCAGACGTTCCTCGTCTTTATTGGTCTCGTAGAAGTTGACGAGCAGTTGGGCCATTTGAAGAATTTTCTGAAAATTCAGATAATTGGAGTTCTGGATGAGTAATTAAGTCAGAATTTTTTTTTGCGAATATCCTAAAGGTCAGAAAGGATGATTCTAAAGCTTTGAAATTTGAGAAATCCAAAATTCCGATTTTTGCGATTTATGCGACTTTTTGCTAAATTTTTAGACCTTTTTAGGTTTTTTCAGCTATTTTCAAAGATTTTTTTTCAATTTTTCTGGATTTTTCTGAAATTTGACGAGCCGGTCTTCGCGAAGATTACTGTAGATTACTGTAGAAATTCCTGTATTTTGTAGTTTATTTGTTTTTCTGCATTCTGACGTGATTGTGTTCACAAAAAAGTAACAAATACAAACTACAAGGTTTCTACAGTAATCTACAGTAATCTTCCGTCAAGAACACTCAAATTTCACACAAAAAAATTCGGAAAAATCGAAAAAGAATCCAAGATCCAGGATCCTTCAGAATCCTCTAGAATCTTTCAGAATCCTTCAAGATCTCTCACAGCTCTCCAGAATCCTTTAGAATCTTTCAGAATCTGTCAAAATGATTCAGAATCTTCCAAAATCATCCAAGACCCTTTGGAATCCACTAGAATCCTCCAGACACCTGAAGGATCCTCTAGAATCCTTAAGAATCTTTCAGAATGCTCCAGGATCCTTTAAAATCGCTGGAATTTTGAAACTTCAGAATTTTTTAATTCTAAAGATAATTAGGAATCATCTCTCCATGGTTCCCTGAGCTTTCAAAACAAAAAGTCGAAATTTCAAAAATATGAAAATTGATATTTTGAAATCCCATCTTTTTCAGATTCCCATAACATTTTTATCTCGAATTTCTCACCTCCAGCCCCCTGTGCCCATCAGAAATCGCATCGAATTGTGCTCTGAACTGTAGCCGCAAAAAGTGTCTTGCTCTGAATCCTCTCCATTTCTTCTGAATCTTCCTCACTGCTTTCGTCTGTTCCTCATTCTTTGTTCGTTGTTTTTCCATATCCGCCAGACTTTGCAGAAAGTTTCCTCGTGCGTTCTGAAATTGTTAGTTTCCTAGGAATTTTGGGGAGATTTCAGTGAAATTTTCATTAGAAATTTCTTTTTTTTTCGCTAAAAAATGTATAAATTTCCATAGCGGGCCGGCCCGGGCAGATGGCGGACCGGCTGATAACTTGTCCCTAGAACGAGATATTCAGATAGTTTTGTTATCAAATGATAGATCTCGACAGGGTCCATCACGTTATCATTCAAGCCAGATTCCGGTCCGATAACATTTCCAAAAATGTGTGTTGAGTGACAATTTCCGACCAATTTGACAAAAAAACAGTTTTTTGTCATTCAAACACATTTTTCGACATGTTATCGGACCGGAAACCGGCTCGAATGATAAAGGCGTAATGGGCCCTGTCGAGATCTATCATTTGGTACTAAAACCGTTTGAATATCTCGTTCTAGAGACAATTTATCAGCGGGGCCGCCATCTGCCCGGCCGGCCCGCTTGCAACTATGGTTTTCTAGGAATTTTGGGGGATATTTTATTCGAAAAATTAGGAATGTTCAAAAATATTTTTTGAGCTACTAATCTGAAATTTTCATTCAAAGTTCCAAATTTTCGCTCAAAAATCTTCAAATTCTGAATATTCTTCTCAATTTTTTCAGCAAGATTCTTCATTTTCCTTGATTTTCCTCTTCTTACCATGCTATTTAACATTGCCTCTTGCTTTTTGTCCCGCCGGACGTCACCATTGAAAAACACCAGGTTGAATGACATCTGAAAATTTCAGATAACTAAAAAATTTAAAAAAGAGAATTCAGGAAAAAAAAATAATAAAAATTGAGTTTTTAATCTAAAATCAAGGCGATTTTCCGGTATTTTTTTGGTTTCAAACCAAATTTTAAAAACGGATTATGTCGAAATTATTGATAATTAGGAGGTTTTTGTGGTCAATTTTTCAAAAATTCCAGTGAAAATATATGGAATGAACTGGAAATTTGGGAATTTTGAAAAATTTGAATTTAAGAAAAAGGTTTTTTATATTTTTCCTGGTCCAAAACTATCTTTTTGAAACAAATTCTGATATTTTCTCGGCTTATTTTGAGCCAAATTTGACCATTTTTCAAAGTTTCTTTTCCAAAAGTTCCATTGAAAACACATTAAGAAAATTACAAAAACCAATATTTCAGGACTAAGAAAACCCTGTAAAACCTTCAAAAAATCATAAAATTTTGATAGAAAATCCATTATCTTTAATTGAAAAATCAGGAGCAAATAGAGGAAAAAAAACTGGATATGGAGGGTATTTGAAAGAAAAAAAAACAAGAAGAAAAAATGAGTTAGCAGAACCCGGCAGTGAAAAAAAAGAAACAAAAAACGGGGGACATTAGTGTGGGGCAAAAAAAACATATACCGTAAACACTCTAATAGAACGCCACCCAAGCCATCAACGTTAAACTCATATATCTCCATTCCTGTTGAAGATATCCAAAAGCGGCCAACTGACAGATTGTTTATCATAATATCAGCAACATTTTATCAGTAGACCACTTTTTGATATCTCTCTTAGAAAATGAGATAGATGGGCTCGAAGTTGACAGTTTGGGTGGCGTTCTATTAGAGTGTTTAAAAAAATTGAAAAAAAAGGGAAAAAAATAGAATTTTTGAGCTAGAATTTCTAGCAAAAAAACGGGAGTTCGAAGGAACAAAAAAGAGCAAAAATGAAAATTTTCAGCTAATTTTTCTTTAAAAAAAGGAAAATAGAAGCCATAATTTCTAGAAAAAAAAACGATTTATTCTTCATCTGAATTCTCCTCCTCTTCACTCTGATTCAACCAATCCACAATTTGTTGCATCGAACTCTTCAACGTCGCCGTTTCAATAGACTCCGCCCACTCGAGAATGCCCTCCTCCTCCAGAATATCATTTTGATACATGAAATGGACTAGTTTCGGCACGCGTTGTCTGAATCCTTCGACGGCGTTGTAGCGATCCTCGACGGCGAGCAGAAGATGGATTTGGCATCGTTTCGTTCTGTAGTAGTTGCTGCAAAAATGGGATATTTAAATATTTATATTTTCAGGAACATTTGGAGATTCTCAAAATTCTGGAATCCTCTGTTTCCCATATTAATGTATTTCCATGATTCAAAGATTTCGTCTTATTTTCTCAGCTCATTGAATTTCAAACTTTGACGAATTCTGATATATCGCCTTTTTCGGAATTTTCTAATTTTTCTAGGCCATTTTAACATGGAGGCGTAACTTTCGCAAGTTGAGATTTCTAGGCCACCAAAGTTCCTGACTCAGAAATGGTCTTACATGTGTTTTCCAGCCATTTCCGATTGTGACCTAGAAAACTCATGATGTGAAAGTTAGGTCCCCTTAGTAGATGTCTTAGAAAACCCATATGGTGCATGTTAGGTCAATTCTAGGCTATTTACCATGGTGGCTTAGAAAATTCATCTTGCGAAAGTTAGGCCACCATGTTGGAATGGCTTAGAAAACACAAAAGTTCAATTTTTTGTGAATTTCTAGTTTTTGAAAATCTGTTATCTAGATATCTAGAGTTCCAAATTCAAGAATTTCGAGATTTCCAATTTCCTAAATTTCCAAAATTCCTAAAAAACGAACCCAAACAAGTCTCTCCACGACACAATCAACTCCTGTGTTCCTTTCAATTCCTCGTTATTCGGCAATTCCAAGAACGCAGCGAACACATTCTTCGCCACATCGTCCACCGTCACATTGCATGCCAATTTCGACGAATTAATCTCCAAAATCAGATTCCGCATCTGCTGATTATTCGACTCCAACGTCTTCTCCATCGATTCGAACACCTCGTCGTGGAATTGTCGAGTGCTATCATCGATTCCATCATCTTCGTCATCCGACGTGCTTCCTTCTGAATCCGACGGCTCTTCTTCCACACCAAATATCGTTTTTCCATCGACCGCCCGTCTCCAGAACGGTCCTCCATGCTTGAATTTCGCCACGTGGCATCCTTCTCTAGCCTCTGAGCTCAGCTTTTCGAATTTCTCCTCGTTTAGAGCAGCGTTGAGAAGTGTGATTTCAGGAATTTCAGCCAATTTTTTGGGGAAAACAACGCCATTCCCAATAATTGCCTCTTTTGGAACATGCGTTCCGTCTGGAATCGTCACGTCGTCTCCAATGAATGCCGATTCGATTCGACAATTCTCTCCGATTCGGCAATTTTTGCCAATTATCGATTGGTGGATTTGGGTGTTTTTGGAGACTTCAGTGTGCGAGCCAATGCATGAATTTCGAATTTGAGCGAAATGAGAGATTTTGGTTCTTGTGCCCAACGAGACGTTGAAACATTGATCGCCCAATCTGGAAATAATGAATTACCGTAAAACCTGTATTAGAAGGGTCCCTCTAATAGAAGGGCCCTCCGAGAGGAAGTTGAAGAAATACAAGGAATCTGAAATTCTGCTTTAAAAATTTAGGTTTCCAGATATGACCAGTGTGTCCTTTCGAAGAATTTTTCGAGACGAATTCATCTTGCAGTGGTGGCCTAACTTTTGCAAGTTTGGTTTTCTAGGCCACCACGTAAAAATGGCCTG